CCGCCTTCCCAACACATAAGTAACACCCGAGCTTGAGCATGTTCAGCGGTCGTCTTTGGAGGACAGCTATTGGGAACCAAAGTCGACCCCAGGTGCGCGACGCTCGGGCGAGGTGCGCCACGCGTGCCAGGGGCGCCACGCGCGCCAGGCACCCCTTGGGCCCGAGTGTGCCAGGCACCCCTGGTGCGCCAGATGCGCCACGTGCTCCGAGTGCGCCAGGTGTGCCGCACATTCCAGCCGCGCCAGGTGCGCCACGTTCGGGGCACGTGCAGAGTGCGTCAGGTGCGCCTGCGCACGTGTCAGCACAAATTGGGAAACATGTCGGCTCACGCCATCCTTGTCGAAAACCAATGCCCATCATTGTGTCTGGTGGGCCTGCCCCCCGCCGTCCCTGTCAAAAACCACTTCACAGTGAGCGCGGGGTGGCCGCGCATGATCCAGATTTAGCCGCGACGTGCATGGTGTATTGTTTTTGTTGCCAGAGATGGTAGCCCTGCGCGCAGCAGGCAATATACTAACACCCCCGCCGCCCTGGTCAAAAACATAACAAAATAATCGCGTGTCTCACAATCATGACTCAAGACTTTGCCCAAAAGTATACTTTGCATTTTTTTGACGGGGATGGTGAGGGGAGGCCGCATCAGGTTGGCAGCACATGCTCCAAATGTGGAGGCAGAGTGCGGCTTGTATTGTTTTTGATAGGGATGGTGGGGAACGGGCCCGCATGGAGTCGGCATGGTTCCGGGTTGACCGCCGGCCGGGTGGGGGAGGGGGTGTGTACAAATGAGGAGCAGTGAGAAGCCCCTCCCCGAAGGGGAAGAGGGGCAGATGTAAGACACAACACCCTGGACCACCTACGCCCTAAAGCGCTGATGGAGCGTGTTGGGATCTTGTGGGAGGCCTCTCGGGAACCTTTTGGATGCAGTTTTAGCCTCTTCTCGGGCCTCTTGGGGCTTCTTTTGGGTCCCTTGGGGCCTCTTGTGCGCCTCTTGAGGCCTCCTGGGGGCCTCTTGGGGCGGCAGGCTCAGATTTTCTGTTCGGTTCCCCCTCTCTTGGGTACCTCTTGGGGCCCTCTTGGGCCGTCTCGGGCGCCTCTTGGGCCGTCTTGGGCCCTCTTGGAGCCCTCTTGGGCCGTCTTGAGGTGGTCTTGCGGGCCTCTTCGGCCGTCTTGGAGCGTCGGAAGACAGAAAGGGCGAGAACACCAAAATCTTTCAAATACCAAAGGGAAATCAATGAATCGTGCCTCTTGGGGCCCCTCTTGGAGGCCTCTTGGGGCGTCTTGGAGGTCTCTTGGGCCATCTTGAGGCCATCTTGGGCGTATTGGAACGATCTTTCGGCGACTCCGGGCCCTCTTGGACCTTTTTGGGGGCCTCGTGGGGCCCTCTCTTGCCTATCTTGTGGCCCTCTTAGGCCCGAGAACTTCAGGCGACAAGATGCGCTTGAGCCCAGGGGGCACGCGACAAGCCCCAAGAGATTTGGCAATTCGGGATCGCCCGGAGTAAGGATTGAGGCTTAGAGGATTAGGCACAGGACTTGGGGATACGCCCCTTCCGTTCCCAGAGGCGCGGTGGCAGATTTCCGAGACTGCAGTTTCCGCCCTTCTTTCTCGCATCGTTGGGGGTGCATCTCGAGTTCATTGTAAAGTCGAACAATCAGCGGGAGTACGGCGGATTCGAAGGCAGTGGAGTCCCTTGGGCCCAGTGAGGGCGCCCCTGAACCCACGAAGCCGGAAAATTCAGGAGCGGAACAAACACACAGACACAATCAACCGTGAACTCCCAGGATGATATGGGAAAATATTGGAAGTGGGAGGGGGAAGACGAAAAAACAGAAACGATGGGAAAACATGAAGAATCTTGGTATTTGTGTCTGTTTGTTTGTGTGTCCCAGGGCCCCTTCAAAAACGACCCACAAGAGCCCCGCCACCTGGTCTTTGCGGCGAGCCACCGCGAGGAGCGGCCAGCAGGAGGGCCCGCCGGGGGCGCCGCCGCCGCCGGCCCAACCGACGGGCGCGGGCCGAGCGGGCCGACCGACATGTCCGCGTCGTCGTCGTCGCAGTCGTCGTCGTCGTCGCCGCCGTCGCCGTCGCCGTCGCCGTCGCCGTCGCCGTCCGGTGTCGCCGCCGTCGTCATCTTCGTCGTCGTCGTCGTCAGCGTCGTCGTCGTCGTCGTCGTCCTCGTCGTCGCCTGGCGTGCCGGCCCCGAGGCTGTCCCAGACATGCTCGCGTCGAGAAGAAAAATCGCGGCGGAGGGTGTTTGGCAATTTTTGGCCTCCGGGGGCCCTCGCCGGGCCCCAGGACCGTCTCAGAACGGCTCGGGGTGAGAAACTGGCCCGGGGAAAGGGTCGGGACTTCCAGAGACCGCGAATTGTCAAAATCGGGACATCGCACGTCTGGGTCTGGATGACCGGTTGGTCAAAGGTGGAGCCCTGAAGGATGGTGCCCTCAGGAGTAGGAAAGGAATGCAAGGCTGAAGCTTCATTCTGTCAGGCCGCTCGTCCTCGGGGCCATTTCCTTCAGGGCTCCACCTTTGAGCCGCCGAGACGAGGGAGGTTCGATGTTGTTGGACCGTCTCGCAGCTTGGTCTCACTCGGGCGTGTGCGTTTTCTCTCAGGGAGGACACTCGACGAGCATCCTGTGTCCTCGAGCCAAAAAAGCACGCACGAGATCGAACAAATGCACGTGGAATGGACGTCCTGAGCGATGGCGAGCTTTGAGCCGCCGAGACGAGGCAGGCTCGACGTTGCTGAGCCGCCTCGTGGGCTCTCCGAGGGCTTCCAGCCGTGGGGGCTGCTTCCCAGCAGCTGCGCCTGGCCGAGGGCGTTCCTGGGGCGGACCCTCCCGGACGGCCGCCACGAGGCCCGAGGCGTAGGCCCGAAGGGCGGGGGCCGTCGGGGCCTTGGAGGGCGTGGGGGTCCAGGCCCGGTGGGCGCGGCGGGCAGTCGCAGGCCGTGCTGGCGGCGGCGCTGGCGGAGCCGCGGTATCGGGGGCGGCCAGGAGGGGGGTGATGACTGGGGGGAGGGGGGAATGTCATGGCGGGGGCCATGATATCTCCCCAGGTTTCATGCCCCCCCTTCTTACTCGAATTCGTCCCTGGCCATCCCCCTGGGCCGCGCACATGCCGACGGCCCTGATTTGCACCCCCCTCTCTTGGACGCCCCCCTCTTGGACGCCCCCGATGGTCAGAGCCCCGAGTCATTCGGGTTGACCCGAAAGGGGGTCAGGGGGGTGGTGAAATAGATTTGGTGCAACAGATTTGTAGGGCTGCGATACTGCAATACAATGCAATACAATTCTCCGGCGCAATACATTTGCAACACAATCGCCCCAAATCTATTGCACCACCCCCTTTCAGCTGGACCCCCTTCTAGGTCGACCACAGTCATCAGGGCTGGGGCTGGTCAGGGGTAGCTCCTGATGCGGGCCCCGGGGGCCCAAGCCAGAGTGGCCCTGGAGTGGAGCTCTCCCAGATAGTTCGGGTGTCCAGGCACTCCCGGATCATCGGGGACGGGGATGGTCAAGGGGCAGCTCCCGATCCATGCCTCGGGGGCCCAGACCGTCCTCCTCCTCCTCCTTCTCGGAGGAGGAGGAGGAGTAGGAGGAGGAGGAGGAGGAGGAGGAGGAGGAGGTTCGCGTCGTGTCGTCTGGCGGCGACCGACTGGAGCTCCAGTCGCCCCACCGCGGATGATGCCGCACCCCGCACTGGCCACGGCAGAGCCTCCCGCACGCCGCGCCGCACAGCAGGCCCAGTGCGCATGAGAACGATACATCACTGAGACTCAGCGGCTTTCATTAAGTCGGGCCTGTCCCTCTACAGGGGGAATATTCAAAAAGTGAAAAAATAGTGTGAGGACTATTTTCTGAATATGTTTGGGCATCTTTTGAGCATGTGTCAAGTTTTTTTTATTTTTCGTCCAACGTGGAACACCGCCAGCGACCTAAGGCTTTCAACGTGGAACGCCGCCGGCGACCAAGGATCTGTCGATGTTGGACGGTTGGACGATACGACGTGTCGGAAGCGGCCGACCATTTTCAGGAGGGGAGAAAACACACCCAGACACAATGAGTCGTCGATTCCTAGGAAAAAGATTGGAGAATATGGGAAGTGGGGGGGAAGACGAAGACCCAGGAAATATGGTCAAATACGGGACATGTTGGGATTTGTGTGTATTCATTTGTGTGTCCTTAGGCCCCTTCACATCTGCAGGCAGGTGAGCGTCCGTGCTGGCAGTCCTGCCTCCTCCCCTCCCTTGCTCCCCCCCTTCACCCCCCCCGCGGGGAGCGGAGGGTGAGAAAGCGGGCGGATTGTGTGCACCCATCGCGGTGGCGTCTCCCGAGGCGTCACCGATCCTCAGCCCGAGAGTGGTGCGGGGGCGTAGCGTTTCGGCCCTCGGAGCCGAAGAGCTAGTTGTGCACCTTCCCACACCGGTGGAGCGGGGCCTGAGGGGAGTCCAGGCGTGATGCGGCGCAGTGGCGCCATTCTCGCCACTGGGGAGGGGAAGGGCGCACGGTTCCGACTCTGGCCGGGGTCCCATTCACTTCTGGGTCCTGCCCCGTTCCATCGAGCGCCACCCTCTGCTTTTGAGCTCCGCGTTGGATCCTCTACACCACCCCCTTCGACCCCCCACGCCCTCGAAAAACCTCCTCCTCCTTCTCCTCCTCTTGCTGTCTCTTCCCTGCTCCATCCCACTTCTCCGCCGGGGGACGGCGACAAGAACGAAGACGACGCCGACTGTCGCGGCGATCCGTCGACAACGACGGCGCAGACGCCGACGCAGCCGACAACAAGAGGACTGCCGACAACGACGACGCCGACGACGACGACGACGAACCACTACCACCACCACCACGACCACAACCACGATCACGACCACGATCTACATCACGACCAGGACCACGACCACGACCACGACAACGACCACGACCACGACGACGACGACGACGACGGCGGCGACAACGACGACGACGACGACGCTTCCAGCGACGTCCCCCGCCAACCCAGCGATGGCGTTCTCGGCGCCGATGGACGGGCCCGGCCTGTCAATCGATGCCAGCTTGTCCTTCGACACCGCGGCGCCCACTGGCGAGCTCTTGCGGCTGAAGCCGCTGTTGAGATGCAGCCCAGCGCCTGGGCGCCAGTGCCGTCTCCGCCGTCGTCGTTGCCGTCGGCGTCGTTTCCGGGGTCGTCGTCGTCGTCGTCGTCGTCGGAATTGTCTTTGCCGTCGTCGTTTGGGTTGCCGCCGGGATCGTCGTCGGCGTCGGGGTCATCGTTGAGGTCGTCATTGTCGTCGTCGTCATCATCGCCAGTTTCGTCAGGGTCGTCACCAGTGCCGTCGTCGGCGGGGCCGTCGTTGTAGGAGTAGGGAGGAGCAGCAGGAGGAGAAGGAGGAGGAGGAGCAGGAGGAGGAGGAGGAGGAGGAGGAGGGAGGAGGAGGAGGAGGAGGAGGAGAAGGAGAGGACTCCCTCTGTTTGGCTGCAGCAGGGCTCTGCGAGTGCACGCGCATGTCCGCCGGGCCGAGCCGCGCGCCCACAGCCCTGCACGAGCGAGGGCGGCCTCGCCGCTTGCAGCACCGCTGGGGCTGACCGAAAACTGCGATCACTGCCCACTCTCCCGGAGTGGGAGGGGATCAGTGGGGCAGAGGTGGAGAGCAGCCAATCGAAAACGGAATCATTGCATAAATGGGCATCAAGTTTCGGGGATCCGCGCGGATGTCTTGTACCTGCGTTGCGTCCCCCTGGCGCGGCCCCTGGCGCGCTCCGCGCGCCAGGGAGAGGGATCCAGCGTCGATTCAAGAAGTCCATGCGGAGCTTCGAAAGTCCACATGTATGCAGTGATGCGCTCCTCCTAGAACAAGTAAGTAAAGCAGCGGCTCTCTTGCATTGGGGCGCATCCTACCTGGAGATAAGGCGTGATACCCCGGCTTGGAAGCTAAGGGCAGGTTTCAGGATGGTTGTGCAACAGGTGCATGGCACATTTTGGTGGGCGCGCACTCGGGTCCTCGAAGTAGGGACCCTGTGGAGACGAGGGTTAGTATCAGCATCCAAACAAAGTGGGAGGGCCAAGATGGCCTAGTTGAGCAGACCTGCTCAGCCCGCTCGCACTCGAAGCAGCGCTCCCAAGGACACATGTCCAGCTCAGTCTGGAAACGCCTGGGAGGACTTCTAACTCGTACACATGTACCAACAACTCCCATTACCAGCGAGTCCAGCGCACAATGCAATTGCATGGATGCAAGGGTCCCTACCTGCAAACCTCGGCGCGTGTGCGCACAGTTGGGGCCGCATTGCATAAACATGTAGCAAGCAAATGGCCAGGCACGAGAGAGCGACAGTACCGATACCAAACGTCGGATGCACCCCAGCTCCAAGGACGATCAAGGGAAAACACGGTAAATGCCGCGCTACCGCGTAACGTGTGGACGATGTCAGGCCCGCTTCAGATTAGTTAAGTTGGGGGCGCAACATTCGTGCTGGCGCATGCTCGAGTCGAGCTGTTCGGAATTGGGCCCAAGGACCCACTTCCTTGGTCGTTGGAGGCGTCACGCGCAGGACCTGATGGCAGCCCGTCCCAACACTCCCGCTCAGAACCTATGTACGTCGCGACTTTGCACCAGCTAGCGTTCACAGCAAAGCCCAAATGCGGTCATATTCCTCAGCATGCTTCTTGACGTTGCAGACCCCGTGAATTCATTTGAAAACGGCGTGGCTCGCAGAGGGGAGTACACACAGTATCCACGACAAGCACTTCAGCTATCCAATTGCGGCGCTGGAACATGGTATGGTCATAATGGTGACAGTGCCCCTAGAATTATGTTCGAATTGCCGTGATGGCGAACAATCAAACGAACGCAATCATTGATCTGCCGAATGGCACCATACCCATCGAGTGAAGGCACTAGCTGGCGAGGATATGGCATGAGAAACGGAATTCCACAAGTGAGCATCATCCTAAAGACGGCAAGGGCATTCCGCCCTAACGGATAGCAGTACCACGACAGATCCTCGGCGGCGCGGGCTCCTGGTGCAGATTCTGGACACAAACGTCGGCAACAAGCCCGATCCGTCCGTAGGGCATGAAGTGGAGCTGGACATGGGGGGCGCAATCCAAGTTTTGGGTGTGCCAATACGGGCGCGGGGAGCGCCCTAACCTCAGAGGGTCTTTCATGCGAACCGCCCCCCAAACCCCCCTGAGCTCGCGGCTGGCAATTAGACTCGTCTTTTCCCTCGTCCCCACCCCTCGTCCTCCCGCGCTCCTGCTCAGCCCGTGAGACGGCGACGACGACTGAGGCCTGAGCGGTGGCCGCCGCGGGGGGAACAGGCATGTTCCAAGTATTGTTGGTAGTCCCAGTCCGTCAATGAGCCCGCGCAGACAATAATCATGTTCCCAATATGGAGGGGTGAAAGACCCTTCGCGGTCACCTCCGGCGACAGTGGAGAGACAGCGCCGAGGCCTGTTATGCCTCCTCGTCAACGCGGTGGTCATGCTGATCGTCGAGCGCCCCATCGTCGCCACCGCCGTCTTCGTCGTCGTTGTCGTGGTCGCCGTCCGCATCTATTTCGTCGTCGCCCGCGTCCTCGCCGTCGTCGTTGCACTTGTCGCTATTGTCCTCGTCGTCGCCGTCGTCCTGGCCTTCGTCGTCCTCCTGGCAGTCGTCGCCACCGGCGCCGTCGTCGCCGTCGTGAGTCTGGCCGTCCTCGTCGCAGTCGTCGCTCTCGTTGCCGTCGTGGCCGCCGTTCTCATCCTCGGCCCCCCGGTCGCTGAGGGCTCCCGCGGCTCCGCTGCTCCAGACGCCCACCCTCCTCCTCCTCCTCCTCCTCCTTCTCCTCCTCCTCCTCCTCCTCCTCCTCCTCCTCCTCCTCCTCCCTCTCCTCTCCTCTCCTCCTCCTCCTCCTCCTCCTCCTCCTCCTCCTCCTCCTCCTCCTCCTCCTCCTCCTCGTCTCCTCCTCCTCCTCCTCCTCCTCCTCCTCCTCCTCCGCCACCAGGCTTCAACCACTCCTTGATGTGTTTCATACCGAAGGACGAACTACCCGAGGATTTGGTCGATGTGGTACGCTTTCCTGACGTGCTGCGGCCGCTTACTTTGAAGAACAGCGACTCGAAGGCCGTGGCATCTACGATCAACTCCTACCTTCGACATGTTGTTGAAAGCCGCTGCCACCCCTCCCAGAGAGGTTTCCTCCGCGGCCGCCAGTTTACTTCACACATTGTGGAACTGGACGCCGCTGCCAGGAGGGCGGGAGGACACGAGGATGCCGCCGAGCGCATGCCATGCTTCCTCTCTTACGACGTGCAGGCCGCCTTCCCCTCCATGAACTGGCAGTGGACAGCCGCAGTCTTGCTCCACCACTGCTTGCCGGCTGGCTACATATGTGCGATCTGGGCCTTGTATCACGATTTGCAGGTCAGCGCTTGGTTTGGTGACGAATTCCGGTACTTATTCCAGGTCTCCGCTGGAGTTGCCCAGGGGTGCCCACTGTCCGGAACTTTGTGGGCATTGTGCTTCGACGCCTTCCTGTTCCACATCGCCGAGGGCATCGACGCTAGCGAACCGCCGTGCGACCATCTGGATGCCGGGGCGTGCGCCGACGATGTTGGAGTTGTACTGCCTTGTCTGAGCCAGGCTGCCCGGATTGAGCCAGTGTTTCTGGCTGCGCGCCGCCTCGCCTGTCTTTGTTTGCAGCCTAAAAAGTGCGTTGTGGTCCCATTGTGGACTGCATGCTGTGCCGCCGTCGCTTCAGCTATCTCCTCTCTCCTTTCGGTCGTCGCTCCCCTCTTCTCCTCTTTTTCCATTGCTGGCCTCGCCAAGTATCTCGGCATCTTGTTCGGTCCTGCGGCCACCCTCGAGGCCCAGTGGGACGCAGCAGCATCAAAGCTGGGCTTTCGGACCCGCCTCGTGGCAGCGACCCGGTCGCCGTTGGCGGCCTCTTGCCGCACGTACAACTCCTCGATTCTCTCCGTCCTCTCCTACCTCTGTCAGTTCTTTCCCCTCCCTTCCTCCCTCCTTTCCAAAGAGCCCCGGCTTGTTCATAAACTGCTTCGGCTGCCCCCGAATACGTTCAAACGAGACGAACTGCTGTCTTTGAATGCCTGGATCCCTGGTCCCGGCCCAGCGTCGATGGCTGTTCTTGCCTGCGCTTCGGCATGGAGGTTTGCGGCCCACACTTATGGCCCCAGGGTTCGGCAACTCTCTTTCGAATTAGGGGAATTTGCAGTGCGGAACGGGCCGCTGGTCCGATTTATTCGCCAAGAATGGAGCCCTCCGTGTTGGCAGCGAGAACAGAGTATCGCACAGTTCCTTGTCTCGGTTTTGGACTGTGTGCCGCGCTATTCGCTTCGCTTGGACCAGCTTCGCGATGCCGTTGCTGCCGGCACGGAGGAATTAGCCGCCGCTGCTGTCGCCTCTCGCCGTCCGAGGCCCCAGCGTGCGTTCGCCCAGGCCCTCACCCGCCTCGTCTTCCCCGATGATCTCCCCTCTCTCCTCCTTCGAAGGTTGAGGGCCTGGCTCCCTGAGGTGCCCCTTCCCCCGCTGAGTGACTTGGCCCATCGTTGGGCATTGCTCCGTGGTGTGCTCTCCCGGTCCAAGCCCAGCTGGGCTTGGGCCCACTTGAAGACTCTCGCAGGGGGTTGGGTCACCTCAGGTCGTATGCCCGTGCTGGGCCAGCGCCGCTGCTTGTTAGGGTGCGAGGATGGTCTCGATCGGTGGCCTCATTACCTGGCCTGCCCACGTCTCCTCCACCTCCTCGCCCGTCCGAGGCTCTTCCTCCCCTCTTGCCCCCTGGCCCGTCTCGGCCTTGGCCTCGATTCAGATTATGATTCGCAGGTCACCCGAGAGACCACTCATCGCTTAGTCGTGCTTAGTTTTCACTTCTACCATAAGCTCAAGGCAGAGCATGAGGCCTCGCCTTCCCGTTGTGGCGACCTTGAGGCCCACCTGAGGCTCCTGCGTGCCACGAAGCTGGCCATCAGCGCCACTCGATAACCGAACCATGCCCTCATGAGTTACGTGCGCTCCTCCTCCTCCTCCTCCTCCTCTCCTCCTCCTCCTCCTCCTCCTCCTCCTCCTCTCCTCCTCCTCCTCCTCCTCCTCCTCCTCCTCCTCCTCCTCCTCCTCTCTCGTCGGAGGCCCTTGCCCCCCACCCGGGCGTCCAGGGCCAAGCTGCGTCGCGGCGGGTAAGGACCGCTTTGCTTGGCATCGCTCGGACTTGTGTTTTTTTTCTCGGCGAGACCCGTCGAGGAGCGTTGTGGCCTCCTTGCGAAAAGGTGCACGCCCGACGCCGACACACGCACGAGGGGTGGACGTCCGAGCGATGGCGAGTTTGGGCCCGGGAGGGGCTCGGGCTTCTGGGCCGGGTCAGCTGTGGCCCAGGCCCACCGTGGCCAGAGGAGCCTTTTCGGTCCTGATCTGACGTTCTTTCGGGGAGCGCCGTGACAGGAGTAGGGGGCCACATGCGAACCCTCCCCCTCAGAAATCGTGGGGGGTAGGGGTAGGGCTCGCATGTGGCCCACTAAGGAGGTCACCCCCAGGGGCGCGAAAAGGGTCGCGCTTCGCGAAAGCCCGGGCTGGAGAGGCGCCCTTCCGCAGGCGGCGGTGCGAGGGCGCAAATATAGCCACGCGTCGCGCACTGCGGGGCGCGATGCGCGCAGTCAGGTGACCTGGTGCCTCCCCCTCTTCCTCCTCCTCCTCCTCCTCCTCCTCCTCCTCCTCCTCCTCCTCCTCCTCCTCCTCCTCCTCCTCCTCCTCTCCTCTCCTCCTCCTCCCTCTCCTCCTCTTCCTCCTCCTCCTCCTTCTCCTTCTCCTACTCCCCCTCTCCTCCTCCTCCTCCTCATCCCCCTCCCTCCTCCTCCTCCTCCTCCTCCTCCTCCTCCTCCTCCTCCTCCCCCCCTCCTCCCCCTCCTCCCCCTCCTCCTCCTCCTCTACCTCCTCTACAGGAGGAGTTTCCATAGTCAGAAAATAGTCATGGCACGATGTTCTACAATCCTGGCTTATTTGTGTATATGATATGTCTTGGCTATGTTTTTTTCTTTTTTGTTAAAACAAAACAACAGCCTGTAGGAGGACATGCCCGACCTGAGGCTAGGGCAAGGTTGCATCGTTCCAGAACGATCCGGATCACTCTGAGAGGGCCGCGGCGCCCGATGTACGCTCGGGGCTGCCAAAGGTGCCCCTGGCCCAAGGTGCCCCCAGCTTTTCGCTTCATTCTGGACTCCCTGGGGCCCTCTGGACCTCGTGAGGGGTGCTCTGGAGGCCGTGGGGGCCTCCATGGAAATCCTGGGGGCGCCTTGGGCCAGGGGCGCTTCTGGCAACACCCGAACATGAACCGTCGGATCTCAGAGATCCCCAATTATTCCATGTCCGATGTTGTCCCTGGCCTGGCCTCGCCTTCTGGGTCGGGAGGGACAGAGAGTGCTGACGTCACGCGCGTCGTCTCTCTAAGCGTCGCATGTTATTCACTCGCCCTCTGCGCGAAAACGTGGTATTGGAGGTGCCACACGGCTGGCTCCGCCGACCCTCAACGGGGCATCAGGAGGCCCCGGGAGAGCCGCGAGGGAGCCGAAAGAAGCACGAAGGCAGGCCGACGGCTATCCCAGAACGGTTCGAGAAGCACCTCAAGACTGGAGAGAGAGAGAGAGAGAGAAAGAGCACCGTGCCACCTTTATCTAGCCTAGTGGATTTCGCATTGGCGTTGCTTGGCATTGCTTGGCATTGCTTTGCGTTGCTCGGCATTGTGTGGCATTGCGTGTCATTGATTTGCACTGTTGCACTGCTTGGGATCATTGCGTGTCATTGCTTGGCATTGCCTTGCTTCGCTTGGGATAGTTGCTTGACATCGCTTGGCATTGCTTGGCATCGTTGCTTGGCGGTGCGTGGCATTGCTTGGCAGAGCTGGGGAATCCCGAGAACAAGGATCCAAGACCAAGGAACCCAGAGAACCCAAGCAATGCACCAAGACCAAGGAGGCCCAGGGATCCAGGGGTCCGCCTCCCGACGACGACCCCGCCTTCACCGGCTCTTCACAACGCAGATCAGACCTCCCGAGGCAAAGCCTAACTGGGGACTGCACAGAAATTGTGAAGGCCTTGCGGCCGGCGCCGCCGACCCTGACGGGGGACGACGACGACGACGACGACGACGACGACGACGACGACGACGACGACGACGACGACGACGACGACGACGACGACGACGACGACGACGACGGCGACGGCGACGGCGACGGCGACGGCGACGGCGACGGCGACGGCGACGGCGACGGCGACGGCGACAGCGGCGGCGGCGACGGCGGCGATGACGACCATGCAAATGATCTGGAGGGGAAAATTATCCCGGCAAAGCAACCCAACAGCGATGTGTAGGAGCATATCTGGAAGCATTCCCTTTAAGATTCAGATGAGAATCCAGTTGTAGAATTCTGCTGTTCTCGCAGTCGTAGTCGCATTCGCGATGACAGTCGCAGTGGCCTGCATCAGCCTCAGCCTTAGCCTCAGCCTGCCTC